TTTAAAACTCCCATAAATTATTTTTATAAATTTTTTGTATTTTAAATCGTTAAATATCATGTACAAAAAATTATATAATATTATATTATATTGTAAAGACGCTCATATAAATTATATTCGACAATAGTTTATATATATAATATATATATTATAGTAAGAACTCAACTAAAGTTCGGATAATCAAATATTATGTAAAATTTTCTTCATATAAGAGAATTTTATTATATATTAAAACCTGTATATTATACATTTATTTATAAACGTATATTTAAATATATATTTAAATGTTCAATAACATATGAATATATATAAATAAAATAAAATAAATAAAATAAAAATGTAAGTGATAGAATAAATTAGATAAATAATTAAAGAAAATATTGTTTTTAAACCTTATTTTTCTTTTTTATGAATATATTTCTAATTTGATATATCAAAGTTAGTTTTTATGATATTGAGATATTAACATTTAAAAATATATTAAAAAAAATTTTAAATAATTAATCCAGAAATTTTTACTGTTTCAAATTTTGTTTCTAATACAAAAAAGAAAGAATTAAAATTTTCTTTTTATATAGAATATACAATTGTTTATAACTTAGATTTAATTATATTTTTATAAAAATAAAAAAAATAATTTTGACCGTTTTATACCGAAATATAAATTGATAAAATTTATATAATTGCTAATAAAACTAAATCCTTTTAACCTATTATTCATTACTCTGAAATAAGAAGCAGAACGGTTCGATTTAATTTCATTGTCTAATCGGACCCCAAGTTGAATAGTAGTCTGAAAGTCTCTGGAATCACTGATGTTGCACTACATTAGTCTCATTAATTCCAGAACACATCCTGATAGTTAAATTCGATCGCGGTCCATTTGACCTTAAATTTATTTCTAATTTAAAGGATGCTCCCAATACTGGACTCCTTAATGGATGTGCCCGCTACCATTTTCACTAAATGCAGAGAAAGTGCATTGAAAATTGGAAAGTGACGAAATTCGAATAAAACAAATATACTATATATTATATATATTGGTGAATGTTTCCTCTGAATATCGATTAGATTGAACTGTTTGTCGCTCAATATTTTAAAAATTAATAAATGAAATTTCTTCTTATGAGATCGAAACTAAAGATTTATATGATTTATTTTTTTCTCTGATGGAAAAAACCATAAGATAATTCATTAGAAAAAACAATTTATTGATAACATAAATAATTTAGAAAAGAAAAGACTTATATAAAATAAAATAATATTTTTTTATGATATTGTAATTTAATTGTTATTTAATTTTTTTTTAATTTATTATTATTATTACAGTAATATTAATTGTATAAAATATGAAGTAAGATATAGAACAATAAAAAATATGATTATAATTAAATTGATATTTGATAATTAACTATTTGATAATTAAATAAATATTTATTAATTATATATAATTAATTAAATATTTGATAATTATCAATAAAACGAACTTGATTATTATTATTTAATAATTATTTTATACATACATTTTTCTTAATATTTATTAATTTTTTTCTTTCTATTTTTTATATTATTTTATATTATTATTTTATATTATTATTTATATGTTACATATTTATATTATTTTATATTTTATATTATTTATTTTTTTCCCTATTATATAGTTTTTCCATCATTTTATTAAATCGAAATCATATATCTTTAATATACAATAATGTACGCAATAATGTATCGAATTTATTTATTTAAATTATACAGGATTTTTTCATATCTTTTCTTGAAGTTATTAAAATTTTTTTATATTAATAAATTTGAAGTTTTATTAATGTAAATATATTGTTATTAGTAAAAATTTTTAGTTATTTTAAGTTATTTATTTTTATTGATATTTACAAGCTTTAATATATCTTTTATTATTACATATAATTTCTTAATTATAAATAATGTACATTAAATTCGAATTCAGGTTGACTCTTTCGATTAATTCATATAAATGAAGCTTCATTTTATTTTTTAATAATATATATTCATATTAGTCGTAATATATTTTATTCATATAAATTAAATAGAGTATGAGGAATTGAAATCTTAATTTTATTATTATCAATAGCGGCAGCATTTATAGGTTATGTTTTACCTTGAAAATATCATATTGTCAAATATATTGAAGCAACTGTAATTACA